GTCGGTGAATGGTGTTTCATTTTCTTTAACGTCAATCTCAATCTCCAACACAACAGCGGCAGTATCTATGGAGTTCACTCCGGCGAAAATAGTGGCTACATTTTTATCTTTGGTGGTCGATAGGAAAGTTGTGGTCGACATGAAGCCGCCAATTTTATGTTTTAGATTTTCAAAATCCTCGAAAGGCATGAAGAAACCTCGGTACAGAGTTAGTCTCTGGGTGTTTTGATGATCAGTAAGCCATTGTGCATGTTGCTCTTCGATATGCTCGTGAAGATCTCGGAGGAAGAATCGCATTTTAAAGAGCACATCCACATCTTGCACTCTGAGGGCTTTGTTGAGCATTTTGTAGAGGAAGCAGTTTTTAGTGTACCATCCAATTGCTTTTTCTCGTGTGTACGTAGCTTCAAATTCATTAATATGACGTAACTCACTTGCATTATCGTTATATTGTTGTCGACAGAAGGAAACCATTTCTTCTGTGTCTGTCCTTATTCTGGGAAAGTCAAGCAGAAGTTCTTTCAAAATTTGTGCGTACATGAAAGAAGCTTCCTGTCGATGTATTTGTTCTGCCTCTTGATTAGTATTAGAGCTGCTCATTAGCTTAATTCCAGGTAAATAATTTGATGGCGAAGATGTATCTTTTCTCAGTTGTTCACAGATCAGTTTGATGTCGGTATAGACACCTTTTACTTTGGCTGTTGCTTCAGTCCACTTATCACGATTAGAGTTGTCTGAGCAGAAGACGTAGATTAATGCGATCTGTGGCACAGCATGAATAAGGGAAATGATTGTTTCTTTGCACGAATCAGAGATAATAAGAAACACTTTTTCGTCTTTAATATCTGTAATGTAGTCGACACACTCATCGGGATTATCAAAAGTTTCGAGACGATTAACAATCTTTCGAAATTCAACTGAAGCACTTTGGTTCTCTTCTGCCATAGTGATATTTGCGTCGAGCCAAACAACAGCAAAGTCTTCGTAATTTTGATGCTTTCGCCGAAGAAACGGTCCAGTGACATTCGTAGTGGTAAGTTCCGGCAAAGACTGCGCTGAAAGAGAGAAATGAACATTCAGTGTTAAAATGTAGATATTTTTCATTTCGAGAGAGGAACCGTCTTTGCCTTTTATCATTTTCAGATTACATGTGAAGTTTTTACGGTTCCTTCCCCTCTTTAAGGTTTCTGAAACAAGGCTCATTGACAAATTCTGAAACTTTCAAGGCAGATAGATATTGTAGTACATCAAAAGATGTGCTAGACTCAAGCTCGCATAATGCATCCTTCTATGAAATATCGGGGGGTCACAAGCGCGTAGAATGATCTGGATTTTTTCCCTTTTTCTACGCGACACTTCGAGCCAAATGAGCCGAAAATTTTTTGCGGCAACCTGAGGCAAATCCAAGCGTATGTCTTTTTTGAAAATATTGTATCATTCGCTGAGGACAGCCAAAATACTTGAAACGCTATCAAAAACACGTTTTTTTGCTAGGGCAAATTTTGTAAAATTTATCAAAAATGAGCAAAATAATATTTTCAAAAAATCATGCGGTCTGCTTTCACCCAAATTGCCACAAAAAATATTTTAAGCCCAATTGGTCGAAGTGTCGCGTAGAAAAAGGGGAAAAACTTCCATATTTCTCTTCAAAAGTTGATTTTGAGAAAAATGCAAAACACAATGTAATTCAAGAGGAAAGCGCTGGTTGCATTCATGGCAGCCACTATATGGTCGCTTGGCTGCCAGTGATTGTCATCGATTGCCGTTAACTGCTGTTGATTCTCATTGATTGCTGCTTAATAAGCATGGCAATCAATGGCAATCAATAGCAATCACGTGCTGCTATATTGTCACTTAATTTCCATTGATTGCCACTTGATTAGCAGTGGCAATTCAAGGCAATCAAAACAACCAAGAAATTAGTTTTTTCTCCTTGATGAATTTTCAATTTTCTCCCAAAATACTCATGGTTTGCCTCTTGACATCAACATTTTATATAGGTTATCGACCATGGCGCATCCGATGAAGATGTTTTCAAAGCCAGATAGTGCTTTTAAAAATTGACCCCTAATGAGAAAAACTACACATTTTGACAGACACAGTTTTCTATTTTCGCTTATATTTGTCTTCTAGCTAAATAGAAAGGCATGCGGGTGTTAGAGAGGGACTGTAAGTGATGTCGCGGATAAGCTTGACTCATTCCAATTAAAAAGCCGGAAGACAAAGAGAGGGCAGAAAAGATCAAAAAGCGTGTTTTCGACATGAAGGTCTCGAAATATCCGATCTTCAAAACTCAGACGAGGTGAAAAATTTTGGTTTTAGTGTAGATTGGTGCAGAAGACTTAGGAGTACTTATAGTAAAAAGAAATCTAAATTAAATAAAAACAACTTTTTTCACCTTGGAAGGAGAAGCTGTCCTTAGCGAAAACCTGTGCATTATCAAGTTCTTACCAGTCACATTTTGAATTAACTTGCCGTGGTTAGCTTCATTTGGCTTTTCCGTAGAGTTTTCGATGGAGATTGTAGTCGCTACCTCGCCCTGTTTTTCTTCGACAATTGTTGATTCTACTCTGCTCATTTTTTCAGCTATGTTTTGGAATGAAAACGTGAGTTAGCTCTCAGGTGTTATACTAAAAATGCAGGCAACAGAACTCACCAGTGAACAGAGTATTGTTTTTTCTTGCTGTTCTGTGTAAGCGATCACTCAATCGTGCATATTATATGGTCACGATATTTTTCTTCCAAGAAAATATTTTTTCATTATAGGCAAACATTGAATGCCTTCTCTCGCTACTTACTGTCGTAATTGAGTCACTGTTAATGGGTCTCTTCCTTCAATTTCTTGTATACGTGGGAATACATGCGTATGTCTCACACGATGTTTAGTCGTAAGAAAAAAATAACTAAGAGAAGAACAACCACTCCAATGATAACATAAACATATACATAGGAATGAAAGGAGGCAGAGAAAAACAAAACACAGGATGTGCGGTGTGGGTGTGGGGTGTGGATGTGGGTCTGGGGTGTGGGTGTGTGGGTGTGGGGTGTGGGTGGGGTGTGGGTGTGAGTGTGGGTGTGGGGTGGGTGTGGGTGTGGGTGTGGGTGTGGGTGGGTGTGGGGTATCGGTGTGGGTGTGAGTGTGCGTGTTCTAAAAGAGATACCGACACCCACACCCATACCCACCCACCCACATCCATAGCCACAGCCACACCCACACTCCTACCCATATCCACCCACACCCACACCCACACCCCACACCCACACACACCCACACCCACACCAACACCC